TAGTTCTTCCACTGAACTAGATTGTAATCCTGGACCAACAAAAATGCTCTTCTGTGTTTCCATCCCTTCATCCATGAAGCAAAAAGACTAATACATGTACTTTCTAGAGTCTTGTGGATAAAATTAAGTAAGATCACCCAAAATGCTTATAAATCGATGCTTAAAAGCAAGCGAAAACAGAAACAACTTAGGGTCTAGACCAGTCTTTGGCACAATGCAGATGCCTCAGTAATAAATGTAAGTTCACTTAGGCTCCTTACATGAAGTCAAAGACAAACATATATAAGCAGTGCCCATACCTGAAAAATAAGAGGAAGAGCCTGTTTGAAACAAAAGTTTCAGTATAATTGTGATTTTAAAATTTTAAATAAATTAATTTGATTAGTCATAATAATCAAAATCATTAAACACAGAGCCTTGAGACTTGGAAAAACTTTGGGTTCAGGTGAGATATCTACTGCCTACAGCTTTTTCCACAGCTTGAGCTAAAAGGCCATCCAAATGTTGCGTGAACCCTCGGGTTTGGCAGCGATACACAAGTCTCGTGGGGGCTGGGCCTAAATGTCCTTAACTGGCCCAGACGGCCCAGGCACTGCTGGACCCGTGAGTGCACCAGGCTAGGGCATTACCCTGTGGGGAGCTCAGCCTGAAGCTGAGAGGCTAGAGCGGCTGAGACCTCTCACACTCCTTCCAGCGGCTGCACTTGTCAGGGGCTAGTGGGGTGGCTTGGGCTGGAGGGATAGCTCGTTAGAGAAGGAATGAATGGAGGTGGGAATAAGGGAGCTGATACTCTCAAGAAGAAGGGTGTCAGCAAGGCCCTATGGTTCTGGCCTCCGTGCATTGCCCTTAGGCCTTTTTCTAGGACTATGGAAAAGGCTGCTAAGGACACGCCCTGGGGCTGACAGACTTCACAGGCCACCAAAGGTCGGGTGTCCACTAGTGTCCCTGGTACCACTGGGCCCCATTTCTGAGCTGCTCAACCCTTGGGAAGAAAAGCTGTAGGAATTCTGGGATAGGGAGAAACTGCCGGAGGAGGGAAGGGAGCGTGACTGGGGCTCGGTGTTGCGTGGTGATGACCAGAGGTGACCCAAGCTCAGGTGGGCTGGGCTGGAACCTGGCACGCCTGCAGAACAAGGGCAGGCTGCCCAGACACAGGGCTGTGAGCGGGCGGCCTTTCGGAGCTCCATCTGCAATCAGGTCATGCAGGTGCCCTCTTGTCCCCTGCGGGGCCCCTCTGTCGTGCAACATTTTATCATGCAAAGCTTCAATTTTCTCAAATCTGAAAGTTATTGTTTAACTCATTAAAATGTCACTTAAACTCAAAAAATATTATGTTATTCTTTTATTATTTCATTTAATGCTTTTATTGTATAAGTTTTGAAATATGTGATCATTACAAAATTAATTGCATGTATTGTGGTATTCTATAGTTAAAATTTGAAAAGTAATGCACTTGAAAATGTTGAGATATTCCATTAATAGAGACTGGAAAAAATCACCAAAATTTGCAAGATTGGATTCCTACTGAACCTCAGGTACAACATATTTTATCATGCATATTATAAAAAGTTGAATTAGCTAGTTCTTTAAAAAATATTATATGCAAGACATGAGATAGAACTTTCTACTGGGCCTTTTAAAATTATTATTTCTCACAACGAATTTATAAGGTAGATACTTTTGTTGCTCCCATTTTCAGATGCAGATAGGGAAATTTAGAGAGATTAAATAATTTGTTGGTTGTTGGCTTGGTCTGTTCAAATTCTAGATTTCTAGCTCTATATTATACTTCCAAAATTAAGTGTCATATGTTTCTTACCTTTATACAATCAGATTGAAGATACTTTACACACATTTTTTTTCAAGCCCAAACATACCAAAGCTTGTAAAAACCTATAGTTTATTTTTTATAATTTTCCCTGTGTGAATGCTGTAATTTGCACATTACCATTCATATTAGCAAAGCCACTAGGGTTTGATCTCTGTTCTGCTATGCTATTATCCATCAAAAATTAATAACAAAAATTACCTCCTTAATTAATAGGCACAGGAGGAGTCCCTAACTCACTGCAGAATTTGATACTGCTTGATTATCAAACTCAAAATAATTTAGCATCTACCTAATTAATTTCTAATTGATATCATTGGGCCATTACTTTCCTATTTACATCTGAAGACATACCAAGAGTTACTGTCCTAGGTGTTTTTAGATATAATGTCTAAAATAACAAAAACTATATAAAATTTCTTCACTCTATCATCTAAATGACAATTATGGACTTTTTATCAAAGAATAATATCTAACTAAAATCTATTTTCAATTGAGTAACTCATCTGGACATTAAGATCACATTTAATACAAGCTAAGAGCTTTCTTTCACTCTGAATATTAAAAATTTGGGTTAATACATTTTAAAGTATTTAACATAGGGTTTATTCTTTCTTTGAGAAATCACAATCTTAAATATGCTGTAGTATTTTGGACATGTGGCTAATAACTGGAAAAATGTTTTCTTGCATTTCAATACATTGGGTTTTTTAAAAAGATTTTACTTATTTATTTTTAGAGAGAGGGGAAGAAAAGAGGAAAGAGAGGGAGAGAAACATCAATGTGTGGTTGACTCTCTTATGTCCTCTACTAGAGACCTGGCCTGCAACCCAGGCATGTGCCCTGACTGGGAATTGAACCGGCAACTTATTAGTTCACAGTCTGGCACTCAACCCACTGAGCTACACCAGCCAGGGCTCAACACATTATTTTTAACACAAATAAATCTATCATCTGTTACAAGCAAAGTATCATAATTTTTTTAATTGATAGATCTAATAGAAAGTAAGAGAGGGACAGACAGATATTAATTTGTTGTTCTATTTATTTATGCATTTACTGATTATTTCTTGTATGCGCTCTGACTGGAGGTCAAACCTGCAACCTTGGCTTACCTGGATGACACTCTTACTAATAGAGCTCCCTGGCCAGGGCCCTAATTTTTGAGTAATAAGTACTAAAAAAACACTTAAACACTTAAAATATTACAAAAAATTTAGATAATAAAATTTCAAATCAGAAAGCATACTTTGTCCATTAAAATAAATTTCTTAATTAAAAGTGTTTGATTTTCTCTTAGGGAAAAGATTAAATTTAACTAATTTTTGTTGCTGGCAATCTCATCATGTCATTTAACATTCCCTCTCCCCTCATCTCAACATTTCCTATAAAATCATAGTTTAATCAAGAGAGTAGAGTAGGCTTAAGCACTTCTGGGCAGCAGTGGTGGGACTGTGTACTTCTCTAGGTATTAAGAGGGACAAAATATCCGGTTGTTACACTTTTAGAGACATTAAGATTGAATAGTGGGTTCAGGTACTGCCAGTCTGATCATTCATTGCAAAATTCTCTAACAAAGAATACATCCTAACAACCATGCTACAGCAAATATAGACACATTCATTACTCCTTGTAACGACAGCTTATTATATTACTGTATGTTCAACAAGTGTCCTGTTGAAAATACATTTAAGGTATTTCCAATATTTTGTTATTACAAATATTTTTTCAATAAATAGTTATATTCATACATTATTTTGCATACTTCCACTGACTTTGGGTTAAATTTTTAAAAGTTGGATAGCTGGATCTAAAGGTAAGTGCATGTATAGTTTCTCTAGAGAGTTACAAAATTCCTTTCTTATGTGGTGCACATTCTCAACATGTGTAACTCCTTTATGGTAAACATGAATGACAAAATCACATAAGGTATTACATAAAAGTGAAAAAAATCTATAGTTTTCAAAAATATATCTTTCATATCAACTACAGGAAGATTGTCTCAAGAAAGTTATTCTGTTTGTATTCAACTAAAAAATGCAAGTAGTTTCTTGTTGATGTTAACCTGAAATAAACTATGAAATAACATCACTATTGTCTTTTTTTGAGAATTGTTAATATATTATCAAAAATATAAAAATACTGCACAATCAAAAATTAGTCACAACATACTAGAGTTGGAAATTATATGCAAGTCCTAATATGTAAAAATATGGGTACTAAAATCCAAGAGGTTGATTTTCTCAAATTTATACAGTAACATCCCAAATTTCTTAGCTCCAATTTAATATTATTTTTACTTTGACTTGAAAATGACTATGCTAAAGGTGTTATTTAAAATAAATAAATAAATAAAAGCTTGTCTTTGTAGTCAAATATCTAAATTTGAATAAATAACTTATTCCTATAACATCTTCAAAGACTAATTTGGTACCTGGAGACATGGCATTTAATATAAATTTAAACTATTAAAAATATAACAGACTCCCTTGTTAATTCATTCAATAAGAAAATATTATTCTATGTGTGTATGAGTATTTATGAGTATGTATTTGTGGTTGCTGTTGGTAATAATTGATTTTGAGGTCAACTTTATTACATCAAAATGAACCTTGCAGTTATTATTAAAGCGACTAAAATTTGAAACAGTGAAGGGTCATCAAGGAACGTGTATAATGGACCCATGGACAAAGACAACTGGGGGGAGGACTGAATGGGGGCGGTGGGGGTGGGTAGGTTCGGGAAGAGTAATGGGGGAAATGGGGATGACTGTAATTGAACAACAACAACAAAAAGAAACAGTAAACCTAGATCCACAAACCCTCCACTTGGTTATATAAAGTAAATTAAAAATTAGAATTTTAATTATTATTTTCTTCCAAATACATTAACTATTTCATTAAGTGTTTTATTAGGATTTCTTATTTTAAAAAACTTTTGTCTTACCGGTTTCCTTTCAAAATTTATAATTATCTCCCAACAGGATTTCTATTTCCATGACAGATTTTAAGATAACCGAATCATGTGTCCATGGTACCTAGCAAGTGCCTCGCCCAAATACAAACTGGGGATTAAAAGGTTGAATGCAGCCTAAACAATATTTAACATTTCAATGAAAGCTAAATGACTAGGATCAGAGTTGTAGAATACTGTGCATTTATTCAATACTTACCAGGAGGATGAAGATTCTGTTCCTCTAATAATTCTAGATCAAGCATTAGATCATCTTCATCCAGTTCACAAGATCCCAAATTATTTAAAACATCCTGAAGAAAAAGCAAAATCAGTAGTTAGAGACCAAAACACTGAAAAGCTGAGAAAGCATTTATATGGAGATGCCATGAAGCAAAAAAGAAATCAAATTAGAAGTGAAAACATTTAACTGATACTCAGAAATTTTTTCACTATCTTTAAGATTTTCAGCCTAATATAAATTCCAAGAATTATCACAATAATCTTGTTATAATTATTTGTATGTTAGCTTTTTTAAAGACATGTATAATTAACAGAAATATATGTGTAAGCATCTATCAAAAATATTAAAATACAGGAAAGTAATTGTTTTAACCAAAATTTCTTTAATGAACATAGTAAAAGATGAGATTTTATTTCTGAAATACACAAAAAGGACATAAAGGTTTTTCAAATGTATAAAAGTCTGTGAACTCAAAGTTTTGATCATTTTTCTAATATTTATCTTTCAAATCTGTGTACCATTCTTGTCACACATTTAATAAATTATTTCTTAAACAAATTTTGTACAGTGACAACTGTGAAACATTATTTTAGGCCGTACAAGGAAGTGGGGATTCAGTTATCATTATTCAATCATTTGCTTTAGATTAGAAGAGTGAATCAAAGAAATAAATATCAATTAGATTAAAAGTTAACTATTGATATTCATAAGGTCATAAACATTAGAACTAGATATTCTTTCTTTTTAAGAGGGCAAATGGCAAAGTAAACCAGAAGGTTATATTGAGAAGTCTTGAAGACAAACAGTGATATGCAGAGGTAGGAATTCTTGAGAGAGGAATAAAGAATTGATTTGTGTATTTGTATATATAGACAGGTAGTAAACATTAAGAAAAGCAGGAACTTACATTTAGGGACTAAGAGTAAAATTAAAACAGTACAATAAAGGACAGGAGAAAAAAATCTAAATGCTAAATGACATCACATCTCCAAATCACTTTCTCCATTGATTTGAATGTTACCATAATTCATATTGAGGAAGTAAATATATATTGAAGAAAGCCTTATGATATTGTCAAATGGACACTGAACACCTTAGTTCTTGGAATTAAAAGGACACTAAAATTCATAAACTACTCTCACTGTAAAAAATATAACGAAACATTATTAAACTTTAGAAATGTGTTATGAATACAGCACTATAGTTTCAAAAGTGATAAGTATACCCAAATCTAAGTGCTTCTTTCTACAAATGAAAGTTGCAAGAAACAATTCTGTATTGTATTACATTGTATTGCATTGCATTGCATTGTATTGCATCTGTATTATTTCCAAAGTAACTAATAATTTAAACTATAAATAAAATCAACTCTTACTGGAAAAGTTATAACATACTGTGCCAGAACCCTGGCCCAGACTGTAGCTAAGTTGAGTGGGCATCTTCCAACAAACCAAAAGGTTCACAGGTTCAATTCCTGGTCAGGGCACATGCCTGGGTTGCAAGTTTGGTCCCCAGAGAGGGCATGTGCAAGAGGCAGCCCATTGGTGTTTCTCTTTCACATCAGTGTTTCTCTCCCGCTCTTTTTCCCTGCTTTCCTCTGTCTCTGGAATCATAAAAGAAAAATAAATATGTATATATATATACATACACACACACACACACATACATATATGCATGAGCATGTATGTATATATATAGTGGTCTGGGAAACGTCTAGCCATTGTTAATATAATGAGAATGGTGTGCATGACATCAAAGCTGGCAGCCAGGGAAAGTGGACTGGAATGCACACGGGTGAACTAGTACTAGTCACTGTACTTCACTGTACTAGTCAGTGGGGGCAGCAGATGCTGTTGAGTGAGCATGTATACTGTGTGGTTTTCACATTCAAAATGACTGAGCAAGTAAAGCAACGAATCTGCATCAAATTTTTCATTAAGCTTGAACATTCCTCCATGGAAATTATTCGGATGATTCAGAAGACTGCAGCTATGGGGAACTGGTGATTGGCAGCTTCATCATGACAAAATGCCCACTCACACATCATGTCTCAGACAGAGTTTTTTTGCGAAACATCAAATCACCCAGGTGACTCAGCCCCCTAAGCCAGATTTGGTGCACTGTGACTTCTGGCTTTTCCCAAAACTAAAATAACTTTTTTTTTAAAAAAAAGAATGTTTTGTTTTTTTATTTTTTTAAGATTTTATTTATTTTTAGAGAGGGGAAGGAGAAAGAAAAGGAGAGAAACATCAGTATGTGGTTGCCTCTTGAACACCCGCTTCTAGGGGCCCAGCCTGCAACCCAGGCATGTGTCCTAACTGGGAATAGAATCGACGATCCTTTAATTTGCAGGCTGGCACTCAGCCCACTGAGCCACGCCAGTCACAGCTAAAATCACCTTTGAAAGGGAAGAAATTTCACACTGTCAATGAGTTTCAGGAAAATAATGACGGGGCAGCTGATGGCAATTGGGAGAACTGTGTGAGGTCTCAAGGTGCCTACTTTGAAAAGGACTGAAGCATCATTGTCCTATGTACATTGTTTCTTGTATCTTGTATTTTCTTCAATAAGTGCATCTATTTTTCATATTATGTGGCTGGATTCATTCTAGACAGATCATATAATATACATATAATGATTTCTATATGATGATATGTATGTGTACATGTGATAGACTGTGTCAGGGAGAGGTCCCTGAGTTGCTTATTTACATATTATCAAAAAGATTTCATGAGATATACGCATCAAAAGATAAGAAGTCATCCACAATATGCAAAAAAATTATTTGAATTTGAAACAATAAAAGAAACATAATTAGATGGGAAATTTTGTAAAGATATTACGTTTAGTGTTTATTGAGCATTTTTCAATTGGAAGAAACTTAGTCTGATAGTCAAGAATACATTGGTTAAAAATATTGTTTTATAATTAAAGTGTAATAATATTATCTAGCTTCAATTTAGTCTAAGTAACTTTATAATTAGATGTTAAATTTCATTGACCAATATTATGGTCTGAATTGTTTCCATCCAAAATTTATATATTGAAGAACTAATCACCTAGTATATTAGAATGTGACTAAGTTTAAAGATAGTAATATATGAAATTTTCAGAAGGAATTCCCATTAAATCAGGTCTTATGGGTGGGCCCTAATTCAATATTACATGTTCTTATAAGAGGAAGATATGAGGACACAGACGTTACAGAGGGATGATGATTTGAGGACACAGCAAAAAGGCAGCCATCTGCAAGCCCAGGAGGGAGGCTTCAGGAAAAACCAAATTGCCTACACTTTGATCTCGCTTTTCTAGCTTCCAGAAGTGCAAGAAAATAAATTTCTGCTGGTTAAGCCACACAGTTTGTAGTATTTGTTCTGCCATCCCCAGCAAATTATACGATCAACAACTTTTAGAAAGCAATGAAGGTTTAAACAAAGGAAAAGGAGAATAAATGAGTTCCTGGCATATGACTGTCACGTGTTTTGTGGGTTTTTTTTTTTTTTTTTTGTTATGCCAAGTAAGAACATCTTTTTCACTGTAAGCTTCTATGGTTTGCACAGCATTTCTTTTTTTTTTTTTATTTGGGTCCACCCCACCTAAACCATCTATCCCTCCACAGGAAAAGGAACCAGGTTCTTACATGAATCAAATCCCCTGCTGGGATGTGGTTTATTTATGGATAGCCCAAAATAGGCATGTTACCCAAACTTGCTGACCAGAGTCCTTTCATTGAAATGAGAAAAAGGTGGGTTTGTTTGTTTGTTTGTTTGTGATGGATATTGCAACATTCAAACGGCTGTTATCACAGGGACCTTGGGTTTCACTGCATGGATAAGATCATTGTAAGTCTATTGAAAAATGAAAAATGCCATAGTAATGGGTCATCTGGTTTCTGATCCAGCAGTTTCCAATGTCCAGAGGAATGATAGTTTCAAGGTTGGATTGCTCAACCTTCTTTTGAATTTTGACAGTTAATCCATCCACCTACAGTTCAAAATACTTAAACCCTGCTACTGCTCTTTCTACATTTAAGAAAAATAACACCAACGAAGTAAAGAACTTATATGGAGAGCTCACTCCATTGTTCCAATTTTATCCTTATTTGTAGGTGACCCTTGACATTTAGACTAACAGGGGTCCATTCACTATGGTCTAGAAGAACTAATTTTAAAACTACTCTTTCTAAATTTTCTCACTTTGACATCTTGCTTACTAAGCAACTTTCTTATTAGTGTGGAAAGAGTCATTGAAGCTGGTGAAACCTCATAATAAAAGGAAAGCAGATGCAGCAACATGATATGTTACAGAAGAAAAATCAATGTGAACTTATAAACCTAAAAAGGCATGTATTTTCCAGATCTCTCTTTAAAAGAGATTAATAGCAGCAATAATATTTCTACCCTCTGGTAGCACTTACGGGTAAATAAAATACTTATTGCTCAATATCTACCAATAAAGTAAAAAATTTAAAAAAAACAAGAAAGTTATTATGAAAAGACAAAAACAATGTCTCTAGTACATTTTTTGTTGCCAGAAAACAAAGTTGATGTAAAATAAAAATTCAGAGGCCATTTTGAAAGACTAAGAAAAGTAACCTAAACAGCTTCTCTCTGGCTAATTTTGGACATTACGAATATCGAAAAACAAAAACCTCTATGACTAAATAAAATAATTTCAGTCTGTCAAAGGCTAAGAATACATAATACTAAAACAGAAAAGTTAGTATGAAGAATATAAATAGGCACTTATATACACAAAAATCAAAACAAGGTAGAATATCTTTAATTTCTATTGTTCTTAATAAATACTTAGTATGTGGAGTTCTTTTTCTAATAATATGTACATTGATAATATGAAGATGTGTATTTCCATCTGTATTAGGAAGGACATGTAAAGAAAGTAATGGTATCAAATATGGCAGTTCTGTATCAACAATGGAAAAGACTGATCAGCACTAATTGTAATACATAATAACCAATTAGAAAAGAAGTCTAGCATTTAATTAACAATACTGATCATACACAGTATCTAAGAGGGCACAACTGTGTGTTTCAGACATTTAATAAATTA